AAGAGGGGAAAAGTCTATCAAGACTTGAAATTTAGGAATAAAACCCAAGGAAACAAAGAGGGGAAAAGTCTACCAAGATTTTGGGTATAGGAATAACACTCAAGGAAACAAAGAGGGGCAAAGTGTATCAGGACTTGCAGTTTAGGAATAACACCCAAGGAAACAAAGAGGGGAAAAGTCTATCAAGAAACAATCATCATTTAATGCCAGTGCATGATGATGAGCAGAACCAGGACACTCCTGTGAAGATTAAATTGAATTTTCTCCTGGCAAATGAAACAATGCAGGGCCTCATGGAGTGGCATCTCCTGCTTCATCCAAAATGTTGGGACCTGCCAGGGTCTGCAGGACTGGGAGCTCAGAAATGTCGAGCATGTGGGAGTCACTCCAGGAGATGTTTCCAAAAGCTCACCAGGACTGTAAAATAGTCGTGGTGACACTTAAAAACAATCCCCTACTACAAATCCAAGCACAGCTTCTCTAGGAAATCCAGGAAAAGCAGCTGGCACAACCTCTTGGACCCAGTGGAGGGGAGAGCAAGGAGAGCGTCAGACAGGGAATGTTTGTTTTCCTGAAATCCCGTGTTCACTTTTGGGGTTTTTCAACTGCTACGACAAAGAAAAGGCCTCCAGAATTTGTTTAATCAGCATTTAGTGCTCTAATGCCACTTCAGAACTGGGAATCTGGGAAGCATCATCCTGCCAGACTACTCAGGGTTCCAAAAACTCTGCTCCAAGTCTAGGGAATGAGGTGGGGAAATAATGAAAATGACCCCTGGTTTTTATTATTTTAAGCAGGGCTGGGATGTCAGGCTCCAACAGGCACTCTGCTCCAAGCAGCCCTAACCAAATGCCTATTTCCCAGTTTGAACTCCATGACTGTGGCAATTCCATGATTAAACAGGTGCATTTGGCTTTCAGGCCAGCTCCCAAATCCTCCCCAGTCCAACTGACAAGGCAACAAAGGGAGAGTGAACTTCCAGCTCCAGCCAATTCTTTGGGGAAACAAAACCATCCAGCCACCAGCAAAGACTCCAAATTCTGCTCTAAAAGCAGCGAGATTATACCCTTGGAAGTTGTCATTTAGGCAACAAAGATTATTTATTTTCCTCCAGTTGGTTTGGGGAGAGATTTATGGATTTTGAATTCTCCTGAAGACAGGCACCACCTCCCAAGCCACGTTTACCTGATTTGGTTTATAAACCACCACCTGTGACAGCCTTTCTGGGAAAAAGGGGGGGCTCCCCCAGTTCTGGGAAGGGGCTGCTGCCACGTCTTTGTGCATTTTGAAGCATCACCACACGATTCCCCTCATCCCTGGAGACCTCATTAAAACAGAGCCCCAGAAGTGGAGCAGAAAGAAGCGTAGCGTGACATTTGAAAATTTACATTCAAAGTTTCCAGAAATATCCATCCTTTAAAACAAAACAAAACAAAAAAAGGGGGGGAAAAAAAAAAAACCCAAACAAAACAACAAAGCCCCACCAAACCCTACCAAAACAAGACATTCCAGTGCACACGCTCTTCCCTGGGGACAGGCCAAAGAGAACAACTCCACGTGACCCTGCGATTGCTCAACGCTGCTCTTGGAAGGTGTTCAAGTGGGATGATAAGTGCGGTGTAAGCCTATAATGACCAGAAAAAGGAATTTATCCCAAATGTAAACTCTGTCCTAGCCTTTGCCTCCACGGCGCAAACACGGGTGGGGGAGCGCTGAGATTACAAAACGCTCTGCAGGTAAACTAAGGAGCTTTGTACCTTTATTCTCCTTGACTCAGGACGAGCCTAAAATTAGCAGGGAGAGCGACGCTCGGTGAATTATGCTCCCGAACCCCCGGCTCTGCAAACTGGGCAGCACAGGGAGATTCAAACAAAGCTGGCCACTATTTATAATTCCTTTCAGGCACAAAACAGGGTGACACTTCCCTTTTCCAGCTCTGACGCTTAAAAATAGAGCTCGGGGACTCCAAGGCAGCCAGCAGCGTTTCTCCACAAAAGGAGGAAAATAAATCAGCACTAAATAAACTCCCGGCCAAGGGGAAGCTGCGAGCGCAGCGGAACAATAAACCCGGGGGTTGGAACGGGAAACGGCCCCGGGGTTTGGGGGGGATGGGGGTGCCGGGGTGGGTCCCCCCATGGGTGTGAACACCCTGGCAGGGGCACCCCATCAGCTGCAGCCTCGCTCCGCCCCGGGCCCGGTTTCCGGGTAGTAACAGAGCAGCCAATCCGCGGAGTTGCGAGAGCTCGAGGCCTTTTCCCTGCAAACACGGCTCCGAGGCTGGCACTCGCCCCAAAATTGGGGGGACCACAAAGGGGAGCCCCCTCTCTGCCATCCCCCAGGGTGGGAGCTACCTGGAGAGCCTGGCCTGGAGCCCGAGGGCTTCCCAGTGGGATAACCCTACGCTTCCAGGCCGCTGGCGAGCGGGTCTGGAGGTGTTTTGGGGAGCACAGAGCCTTCCTCCAAAAACCCTGCTCTGAAAGGTCACAGGTTACCCAGGAAACTTTGGCTGGAGCCCCCCCAAAAAGGGGAGGGGCGATTCTGGCCCTCTGTTCCCAGCCTCAGCAGCACAACCCCAGTCCGGAGGGAGACAATGAGTGACGGGGAGCTGGAGCACATCCTGGTCCAGGGGATTGTTAAACATCAGTGGCACACATTCCCGCAGAGCTCTGCCCTTCCTGCAGCCCCACCGAGAGCAGCCACCTCTCCCCTTCCCTCCTCACAAAGAGGCTTCCACAAAAGGACACGGACGTGGCAGGATTGAAAATAGGAATCGCAAAAAGACCTCGCTCAGCTCCTGAACCTGTCAGAGCAGGAGAAGGCAGGAGTGGCATTCACCCTGCTCGGTGCCCCCTCCCTGCTGGGAAAGGTAGCCCTTGGCAGGCCATAAATCCATACTATTATTCTCCGTTGGAGACGTGGAAAGGGGATGAAACGGGAAACTGTAATGAAAATGGCAGCAAAAGGTGGGTGGGGGGGGGGTAAAAAAAACCCAAACAAAAACCCTCCGCAGCAACAAAACCCTGCAAGCCCCAGGGGGAGATGGCCTCAAGCACATTCCTTCAGACGAGACCCTCCTCGCTGCCGTGTCTCAAAGGAGACCCTGATTTCAGATCAGCTTCCAGAGGGGGAGATTCCCCAGGGAAGCGGCTGGGGAGCCGGGGCCTAGCGAGCTGCTCACCCCGGGCGAGTCAGGCAGACAAACAAAAAAAGGCTGGGGAGGGAGGGAGGGAGAGAGGGAGGGAGGGAGGAGTGGTGAGGAGTCATCTGACACATCCAACTTCCTAAGTTTGTTGTCCGCAGGAGACCGACTGCTCTAACCCTCACCCCTTGGAAAACAAGGAAAGCAGAGCCGACAACAAGAGCTTTGCTTTTGGAAAAGCCATTAGGGGTTCCTTTTGTCAAGGGGCAGAAAGAGCAGAGCAGAAACTGCCCAGCACCGAGAGGAATCCCAGATATTCGGGGCTTTCTACCTACCCAGCTCCTAGAAACCCACAGCAAAGCCACTTCGCAGGGAAAAACCTGCTCTTTGTCCTCCAAAATGCTTCGATCGCTGGAGAAGCCGGCAAGGAACGGAACAAAAAGGGAGGGGGGGGAAAAAAGGAAAAAGAGAGGGGGAGGGGAAAGGGAAACAGAGCAGCAGCCGATCAGGTTGGGCCTCGGCCCCGCTCTGGCCCAGAGCTCTTTCCAGGGTATCCCCAAGAAAGGTTTTCCCCCCTCACTAAACAGCTGGAATTCCCGACCCTCCTCCCGGTGCGATTAAGCATCGATCGCAATTGGCGGAGTCTGACATGTGTGTAACTTTAAACCCCCGGATAAAAATAGCTCCGATTCGAGCACCATCAGGACTCATTTCCTATTTGCTTAAAAACAGGGCGAAAAATACACCGAGAGCGGCTTTGTGGGGAGAAAGGCGCTGCGCGAACGTCAGGCAAGTTTCCTTCGATAAGCCACAAACAGGAGCGCTGCTGCTCCTCCTCCCTCTCCCCCCCCTCCAAAAAACCACCACCAAATCCAGATAAGTTTGTTTATCTCTCTCTGGGAACTAAATCAGACCCGTTTCTCGACCCCTCGAAGCAGCACGGCAGAGCCACCAGCCCCGAGTCCTGCTGAGGGAGGTCGGGCACGTTCAGGAGACAGATCCGAGCAACATTTCATCCACTCTTGTCATTGCCACCCTTTCCACGCTCACACCGCCACCTTGTAAACAAAAACTATTAATAAAACAATCCTAGAACCGAATTCCCAATGGTATTTTTCAACGCCACCCACTCTCCAGACAGAGAGAAAAAAGGGATTCACCACCCCGTAAAGGGCCAGGAATAAAAACAAGGAGGAAAAATATAAACAGATCTATGTAGGAAGAAGGGGAAAAATAAAAAGTAATAAAGGCTAACCAAACCTGGAGGGTTACATAAACCTCTTGGGAGACGGGCTCGGGCCCTGATGCCCTTCACCCACCCCTGGGTCTGCTGAGCCAGACCCCGAGGGACCCCCCGCCCCATCCTCCCCAAAAAATTAAATCCCTAAGCCGGCACCAGAAGCTTCATGAACAGCGGGGTGAAATGGTGGAATAAATACTAATAATAAACCCCACAAAAGCCTTTCTTTGGGCTGTGGCTGCTGGAACTGCTCTCCCCTTCTTCACCCTCCCCAGGGCAGGCAAGGGGGAGTGCGGGGCACCCAGATTGTGGGGGCATCACCGAGGGGAGCCAGCAGAGACACCCCCAGGGCCGCCTGTCAAGGCACAGAGGGGGAAATACCCCCCAAAACACGGCAGAAGGGGGGGTTAGGCCTCCCCTGGTGAGGGGGAAAGGGCAGATCCCACCCCCAGCTCCGGGGAGAGGCCGCGGGGTGCGACCGGGGGGGTTTGGGGGGCGACCCCCGCGGTGCCCCCCGCCCTCCCACCGCCCTGCAGTGCAGGCCCGCGGGTGTGGGGAAGGGGGGGGTGAAAAATCCTCCTCCCCCGTGGGCCCGGAGTGGGGGAGGCACGGCAAGGATACAGCTTGACCACGTCGGTGTCCATCCGCCTCTTGCCCGGGCTGGGGGACGACATGGTGGCCGCGGCCGCCCCCGGGGCTCCGGGCGGGCTGTCAGCGCCGCCGCCGCCGCGGGCCGGGGCCGCCCGGCGCCGAGGGGAGCGGGGAAGCGCCGGGCAGCGAGGCGCCGGGAGCCGCCGCTGTCGCTGTCGCCGCTGTCGCTGCTGTCGCCGCTGTCGCCGACAGGGCCGCCCCCCCGCGCCGCTCGCGCTCCCTCAGCCGCTCCGGCCGCCTCTGCCCCAGCCTCTCTCTGGACCCCTGACGTCACCCGCGGTGACGTCACCGCCCCGCGGCGCTGCCATTGGCCGCGCCCTCAACGCTCCGCCGGCCCCCGAGGCACGCCGGGAGTTGTAGTTCTAAGGGGGGGGAAATGGTGGCGGGGCGGCGGGTTCGAGGCTCCGCTGGGGCCGCAAGCTGCGGTTCTTCCCTTTCCGATGTTTCCCGCAGTTCCTCCCGTATTCCCTGTGTCTCCCCGTTCCCCAGGGATTCTGACACTCCTCTCATTCCCCCATTTCCATTTTGCCCGTTCCCACCACAGCCAGGGAACCACCTCATAAACTATGGGGCGCACCCATGTCAGGGCCTTGTAATTCCCCATTTCTATTGTTTTTCCACAATTCCCCACGGCTCCCCTTATTCCCAGTATCTCCCTTGTTCCCTACGGATTCTGACACCCCCTCGCTCCCCTGTTTTCCATCCCCACCAGGGTCAGGGAGCCGCCCCACAGAACGTGGAGTTTGCCCACGGCATTCCGGTTCAATCCAAGCGGGAATGTGGCGGCTGGCCAGGCCCCACAGCAGGAGTCACCATCCCGGATTTCCGCTGTGACACCGGCAAGGCATTTCCCGGTGCCTCAGTTTACCCACCCGGATGATGACACCCCTAACGGGCGTCTCCCAAACCGATGGTGGAACCTCCACACCCCGCATTCCTGACCCCGGCATCATCCCATAAATCTGCCCCGGTGTTTCCTCCCCCTGTGGGGAGGAGACACAGCCAAAGAATCCCAAATCCCACAAAAGCCCCAGCATGCCCGGAGCTTGGCAGGGGCAGGAGGTGACACCTCCTGAGGGGACTCAAATCCACACCCCACAATTCAGGGAGGGATTTGGCAGGGGAACAGGGTTCTCTTTGAGCAGAGCAGCTGCAAAATTTGGGATAGAGGATCCTGTATTTCCCAGGCCACAATATTCCCTGACTGGTTCCAAGCAACTGGGAGAACTGGACACGGAGAATAAGGATTTTACCATCATTTCTTGGAATGCTTCTATTCCATCTGTGAAACACCAGGGATTATTCCAGGATATCAGGGACTACAACCTGTTCCTTTTTTTGGAATACCTCAATGCCACAGCACCCAAACCTTGGAATGTGGGTGCAGAGGGAATTTTGGGGATCCTCTGAGCACTCCTCAGTGTGGAAATTGGGATGGAGGGGTTGTGGCTGGGTTTTCCCACCCTGGGATGGGAATATCATCCTCCCTGGATTGGGTGCATCCCATGATTTGTGGGGTGTTTTCCTGATCAGAGATGGGGGGGAGGCAGGAGAATCCATGGATAGGGAATGTAGGGAATAGAGGGGAGCCATAGGAACCTGCTGGAAATCATTGGAAAGGGGAGAACCAGAGTTCCAGGGAGATGTAAGGAATGGGGAAAGCATGGGGGGCTCATGGGGGATCTGTGGGTGCAGGCAGCTGGAAAAGGGGCTCTTCCCATCCCATCCTCATCCCTCTGGATTCGGGGTATCCCCATTCCCACCCCAACTCCCAGCCCATCAGGGCCATGGGGTGCAGCAGCCCCTTGTTAGGGCTCTGGAATTAGGGAAAGGAAGGGAACCCACCCAAATTCAGGAGGCAGGATCCCAGGAGAAGCCCCCAGGTGGGCAGGTGCATCCCCAAATTTTGGGCTTCAGGGAGAGCTAGGATCTGCCCTGAGCAAGGCAGCCACTGCATTTCCAGACACAGAATCCCAAAATCCATCCAAGAGCACGAGACAGCTGAAACCTCAGAGATGGGGCTGGGGAAATGGAGGCAGGATCCTTTCCAAAATAAAAAAAAAAAAAAGAGGAATGACATATCCCTGTGCCTCCACCCACATCCACAGACCTGGAGGGAGGAGACACAACTGTGCCAGGCTGTCTGTGGAATCCCAGCCCTTCCCAAAGCCCTTTCCCCAAAATCATCCTCAAGGATGGGGATGACACCATTTCCTTCCCAGCATGGAAACTCACCTCTTGCCAGGTTTTTGGGAATCCCACCTTCCAACCAGAGGGGTTCATCACCCCAAACTGGCCCTCAACAGAGGGACAGGGATTGAGGCAATGGAAAAACGCCCGCAACAGGCAAAGGAGATAACAAAATGTGGAATGGGAAACAGGGAAGGCACCGGGATGTTGATCCCATAAGGACAAAAATCCTGAGGGATACAGGAGCCACACCAGGCCCAGAGCTCCTCCTACCCCGGGGAGAAGCACCACGCCAGCAGGAAGGAAAAAGAAAAAAAACAACAAAAATGAAATGTTTATTCCCACCTGGCATCACCAGGGAGGTGACAGCGTCCCCTTGTCACCCCCGGCACGTGCCAGCTGCGGGCAGGGCTGTGCAGCCCTCGGAGGGGGGGACACAGCAGCAGTTTGTGAAGGCAGCCGGGGCAGGGGGATCCCAGCGTGGGCACGGAGCTTCCTCGGGGCCCTTCCCGGGGCACGGAGCTGCCGCAGGAACCACGCAGAGCTTGGATCTCCTCCCCGTGCTGCTGCCCAGAGGCTGCTCAGGAGGAGTTCATGCTCTCCCACTGGCGGAAAATGCGGAACACCTTGCAGGATTTCTCCGAGAGACTCTGGAAAAGATGGGGACAAAGCAACGGCCGCAGGTCAAGGTGCTGGAGCAGAAACTGCGGCAAAAAAACAAATCTAAAATATCCCAGCTGGCTGCCAGGACAGAGGTTTGCTCCTTGTTTTCATGGTCCCAGTTTGCCAGCTGGAGGGGAGAACAAGGAGACGACAAGCAAGAAGGAGGAAGGGACCCCAAAAAGCAGGAAAGGACCCTAAAAGCAGGAAGGGGCTCCAAAAAGCAGGAAGGGACCCCAAAAAGCAGGAAAGAAGGCCAAAAGGCAGGAAGGGATCCCAAAAGGCAGGGAAAGGAGCCCAAAAAGCAGGAAGGAATCCCAAAAAGCAAGAAGGGGCTCCAAAAAGCAGGAAGGGACCCCAAAAAGCAGGAAAGGACCCTAAAAGCAGGAAGGGGCTCCAAAAAGCAGGAAGGGACCCCAAAAAGCAAAAAGGGGCTCCAAACAGCAGGAAGGGACCCCAAAAAGTAGGAAGGGGCTCCAAAAAGCAGGAAAGGAGCCCAAAAAGCAGGAAGGAATCCCAAAAAGCAGGAAGGAATCCCAAAAAGCAGGAAGGGGCTCCAAAAAGCAGGAATGGACCCCAAAAACAGGAAAGTACCCTAAAAGCAGGAAGGGACTCCAAAAAGCAGGAAAGGAGCCCAAAAAGCAGGAAGGAATCCCAAAAAGCAAAAAGGGGCTCCAAAAAGCAGGAAGGGACCCCAAAAAGCAGGTAAGAATTCCAAACAGCCGGAAGGGGCTCCAAACAGCAGGAAGGGGGTCCAAACAGTAGGAATGGACACCAAAAGGCAGGAAGGGATCCCAAAAAGCAAAAAGGGCTCCAAACAGCAAGAAGGGATCCCAAAAAGCAGGAAGGCATCCCAAAAAGCAGGAATGGACCCCAAAAAGCAGAGAAAGGAGCCCAAAAAGCAGGAAGGGACTCAAAAAACCAGGAAGAGCCTCCAACCATCCCCTGCTCCAGTTGGGTCTGGTGCCTCTGACTTGTGACTGGTCCCACCGGACCATCTGGAGCTTTCCTGGCACATGGCAGAATCACGGAATCGTGGAATGGTTTGGGTTGGAAGGGACCTTAAAGACCACCCAGTTCCAACCCCCTGCTGTGGGCAGGGACACCTCCCACTAGAAAGGACCTTTTGGGGACACAAAACCACTCGGAAGCCCCAGGACAAATCCTGAAGGGGGAATGCTCCACCGCTCCCCTGAGCCGCAAACGAAGAAGGAAGGAGCTGGCAGGAGGAATCCAAGTGGATAATGAGATCCAGGGAGGCAGCAGCTCCTCCAGAGCCACATGGGGAGGGAGCTGTGGCCTTGGCAAGCCTGGCACGCCAAGAGCCTGGAGCCAGGAACTGGGATGGCTGCAGAGAGGAGCTCTGGGCACACGGAATGAAACTGGATCTTGAGCAGCACTGTTATTTATAGCAGCCCTCCAGCAGCTCCAGCACAGCCCAGCCTTGGATGGAGCCTGGCTGCGGGAATGCCAGCTTGGTCCTTGTCACCTGGCTGGGACCGATCCCAAACAAAGCCCACCCATCCCAAATTTTTGCTGCCTAGACAAGTTGGGATGCCCCAGGCTCACCACTGGCTCCGTTTCGGGCGCTGTGTCACATTTTTGGATGCCAAGGAGCTTCTTCAGCACCACTTCCCAGCCTGGCTCAGCCTTCCCAGGCTCCTTCTCTGTCTGGGATGCAGCATCCTCCAGGGACTCCTGTCCCTCCCCAGTGCTGACCCAGGGACACCAATCACGGTGCTGAGAGCTGGGGTGAAAGAAGCTCCTCAAGGAAGTGTCCTGGGAAGCGAGGAGGTGACAGAGGAGGGACACAACGATGGGATGGTTTAGAGACTCCCACTGGGAGTGGCTAGAGGGATAACACCAAATCCCTGGATCCCACCCTGCCCGGGGGGCTCACCGAGCTGCTGGAGGAGCAGAGCCGCGCCCGCTTGGCCCTGCGGACAGGACTGGATGGCACTTCCATGGTGTCCCCCTGTCCCATGCTCCGGGTCACGGGGCGGCTCCTCAGAGCGGGGCTGATGGCATCCAACTCGCCCCTGTCCATGGAGCTGGGAGAATCCCAACCCCGCGGCCGGGACACGGCTGGGGACGGGCTCTTCTCGTGCTGCTGCGGGGAAAAAAAACGGGATTCACGGAGCTCCTCTGCTCCAACCATCCTCAGCCACCCCACAGGAGCCCTTCCCACCCCACGGATGCGTCCATCGGGTGCGGGTGAGGGACTTGGAGCGCCT